AAAATTAAATGTTTTGTTTAATTTTATTGACAAATTCTGATGTATTATTATAACATAATATAAACATATTAATTTTAATTATTAGAACCATAGCATTTATTTAAAAAAAATAATATACATATTATTATATTAAATCATAAGTAAATCAAAAAGAGCTTGACCAGATACTTTTGATAGGGTAGTGTATATATATTTAATTATTTTAATTCAGTTTGGTTAATTTGATTTGATTTGGTTTGATTCATCAAATATTTGATTTGATTTGATTTGATTCGTCAAATATTTGATTTGATTTGATTTGATTCAATCAAATATTTGATTCAATTCGATTTTGCGGAACTCTAGTAAGCTTTTATAGGTTTTGGAATTTAATTTAGCAATATTGATAAATAATCTTAAAATAACTTAACCTTACTTTTATTATCCCTTAAATCGTAGGGTTTTGCAGGCAAATTTGCCTGCTTTATAGTCTAAGGGATAAATTTCAAGTTAAAATAATTAAGATCATTTAAAAAAATAGTAAATGATTTTATAATTTGTCATTACTGCAATCTAGTAATAAACTGATTATGTTTTTATGTATTGACTTTACAAGAAAATAAAATATTACTTTAAGTTATTAAAATGAGAAAGAATTACTTTATATAATGTATTATCTTAATTATTTTGATATAAATCTAATGAATTATGATTTTTATAACAAATTAATAATATAAATTAATATTAATAAAGTAATATCATATTTTAATATAAAGATATATGAAAGAATTTTTTTCATTACTAAAATGAAATAATGATTAATTAATATAATGATCCTATAAATCAATATTCTAGATTTTTATCTTTTAAAGAATATAGGAGCTTTGCAATAGAAAGGGAGGAAACTCTAAAAAAATTTAAATTTTACTTTCTAAGCTAATTATGATTTTTTTTGTAAAATAAGTTCAGATTTAACATTAACTTAAAAAAAAATTTTTTTAGAGTTTCCTCCCTTTCTATTGCAAAGCTCCCATATATGTGATGTAATAATCAAAAGTCAATGAGAAATCATACTAATAGTTATATTATTAATACAAAATAAAAATAAGTATAATTGCCTGTAATACTTAACAAAATTTTTATGCTAATATATTTAGCTTATAATAAATTACTAGATTTTATATTTTATATAGAAATTATAAACAATTTTTTTTTTTACAATATTCAAAAAATTTTATTAGTAAATTGATAAAAAATTTTATCAAAATAAAAATATTACATTTACAAAGAATACCCAAAAGTTTTTGAATGTTATTTTTGACATTATTCACTGATTATAATTAGATCATAATTTAACATATATTAGATATAATCTCAGGTTATAATATATAAAAATTTTAGATAATTTGCTAAATATTGAGATATTAATGTAATTTAACAAATTATAAATAGTTTTAATTACAGTTTTTTTTTTAAAGTTTTTAAATAATGGTAAATTATTTTCTTAAAATTTAATGATTTAAAATTAAATAAAAATTTAAATATACAATAAATGAATAATATATTTATAATATATCAAAATTTAAACTATTTTAAATCATTGGTTGGTAAGATAATTAATATAAAAAATAATGTTTTAAAACCTTAATATTTTATGTTATTTTAATATATTGTTTATATCAAATATATATCAAAATCTCAATAATCAATAATTTAAAATAGTTCAAAATTTGTTATATTATAAATATTTTATTCATTTATTGTATATTTAAATTTTTATTTAATTTAAAACATAAAATTATTTATATTTTGTTAATTATATTAATATCTCAATATCTAGTAATTCAAATTATTTACAGTGACTTTCATAATTATTGTACCACTTCGTTTGTAATTTTTAGATTGTAATAAATAAAAATTTGATGATCAAATGATTTGCAGATTTAATTAATGTATTGTCTGAGTCTTCTTTTATAATATATTCAAATTCAAATTTTTTTTTATTTATAATTTTAAAAAAAAATTCTTTCATAACCATAAATTTTATGATACAATACTTCTGGCACATATAACCAATAAAATCAAAAACATAAATTTTTCAAATTTTTTTTAATAAACTATGCTCTAATTTTTTTTAACAAAACTATTACCATCTCGTATATCCCCTATTAGCCTTAAGTACATCTTTAACTCGTTGTGGCATAGTATCAATTAGCTTTAAACAAAAATTAGTATCAATTGATTCTATACTAATTGTATCTTATTTCACAAATCTTCTGCATTAGTAATATTATCAGAAAGCTGTCGCAAATGACGATCAACTTTATTCCATAAATGTTCGATAGGTTTAAGTCTGGCGATTGTGCTGACCAATCTAAAACCTCAACATTTTTGTCATCAAACCACTCTATTATTTTCTTTACTTTATGTTTTGGGTCATTATCCTATTGGAAAATAATATCGTTTACATTCAAATTATACACGCTAAGGGTCCCAAAAACTCATCTTCCAAAATTTCTCTATATAACTCTCTATCCATTCTTCTATCAATTTTACAATACTTTTCAATGCCAAATGAACCTATACAACCCCATATCATTATAGAACTTCCACCAAACTTTACAGTTGGTTTAATATACTGTGATTGTAAAGGTAAATTTGGATCTTTGAAATACCATTCTCTCCCATCTAAGCCAAAAATTAAGAATTTACTCTCATCTAACCCATCTGACCACACTACTTTTCACCAATCTTCTATGATCTAATTCTTATATTTTTGAGCAAATTTTTTTTGTACTTTTTTATGTCTTTTTAGCAGTAATGATTTTTTTTTAACTCTAGCTACAAGACCTTGCCTTTTCAATGAGCGTCGAATAGTATTTGGTGAAATAACAATATTTTCGTTGGAAATTAAAGATTTTTGAATTTAAATAGCATTTGTACATTCACCCGATTTAATAAGCCTGGCAATATTCCTATCATGACGTTCTGTAAGTATTTTTGGGCAGCCTGATTTTGGAATAACATCAAAGTTGCCTGTTTCTTCTTTTCTTTGTTTGATTCTTATTTTCTTATTACAGAAGCATGACTTATATTTTCGCGAGAAGCAATTGTATGACTTGGTAAACCTTCTTGGATAAGGGCAAAAATACGTTCCTTTTGGTGAAGTGGAATCGCCTTCATAATATATTTAAAAAAAACAAAAGAAAGGTGTACAAATTGATCTACCGATTTAAATTTACTTATATGTATAAGATGTGTTGCACAATCATAACTTTATTAAATTAATTTTGATTCCAAAAATATTGTATCACGAAAAAATTGCATATAAAGAAATTTTTTAAAAACCCACAAATTAAGTAATACTCAAATTTAAATATATTTAAAAATCTGATTACAGGCTTTAAATTGGTTTAAAATTTTAGTTTTATAATCGATTTAATTATTTAGGTATCATGATCTAAAATTAAAAATGAAGTAGTACAATAATTAAGGAAGTCACTGTAAATTTTTATATGTTATAGCCTGGGATTATATCTAATATATATTAAATTTTAATCTAATTCTAATCAGTGAGTTTTGAGAAATACAATGTCAAAGGTAACATTAAAAAACTTTTGGATATCCTCTATACTTAAAATTTAAATATTTACAAAATAATATTTAGTGTGTTTACTCTTAACTTTAATTACTACATTAATACAATTAGATAAACTTAAAATTAAGTGATGTAATATTTCTAAGATAATTTTTTTTCATTTCTCTTTTATAGCATCTTTTAATTTAAGTAAAGGCTTTCTTTTTCAGATCTGATAAAAGATTTAAAATAAATTTTTTATACAAATTTTTTGTAATTCAAAAGTTATTTCTTTAATAATAAAAATTTATAAGTTTTTATCTATTTTTATGAATAAAAATTCATTAAAAAAGAAAAAAATCTGATGTTATTTTTTAATTTATATAAGTGATTTTATTTTATTTTTAATTATATATATAATTTAATTTCTTTGAAATCACGTGATATATAATGTCTAAGTAAATATCTAGAATATAAAAGATGTTGGACATGAACACGTTCATATCCCGGTGATAGATTTTTTGACATAACTGTGATATAAATCACGTGAATATCTAAAATTTAGATATTTATTTTTGGCTTTTTTTTTTACCCCAAAAATATTTTAATGTAGTTTTGATATTAATTTAAAAAAATTTTGTTATTGTTATATATATATAAAATATAAAGAAAAAAAATTCTAAATGCTAAAGATAGTATAAATATTACAAATAAGTAAAAACGCCTCATAACCAAGAAATTACCGCTCTGAACCCTCAAACTCATTATCAGATTTTTTTTTTTTTTTAATCTAAATTTTCAGCTAAAATTTACACCATACTTCATTGATAATCGACGCGCATTGTGCCGTTAAAGCCATGATATAATACTCGAAATAAAAGCCTCAATCAAGTAATGCTTTGTTTGACCTTATAATAATAATAAATAGAAATACATTACTCAACTTTAACAACAAATTAAATGCACAAACTCAAATTTTTTTTTAAAAGAGAAAATAAAAATAAAAATAAAAATAAAAAATAAAAATAAAATTATATAGTTTATAGTAGTATAATGATTATTAACAAAATTCGGAAATAAACCTAAATACACTTCGAATACCCATAAACTTTGTAATATAAAAAAGGGTGGAGCACCTGTCCCCAAAAAAAGTTTTTTTAATAAAAACTATTAAAATTACTATAAAGGCTCCTGTCCTTTGAAAAGAGATCTACGGCATACAGGACTAATTTTAAAATATTTATTTGAGGGAGATAAAATTGGGGAAAGTAATGTATAAAAAAATTATTCACAAGAAAAAGTATATATCTGTGAGAAGTAAAAAAGTGATGGGAGAAATAATGAATGTTTATATAAAGAAAAGAAAGGAAAAAAAATAAAATGAAAAAAAAAATACAATATTGGCATACACCAAAAATGATAATCTTGCATTCAAATAAATTTTTTATGAGCCCATTTCAGCCTACATATAAAATGAATTAAATATTAACTCCTACTCGTCGACATATAAATTAATCTTAATAAAACGAAATTATTGAAATTATACTACCATTGCCTTTTTAACTTTCTCAAATTCTTTCAACATCTTGCGTCTAGCTCCAAGAGCAGCTACTCCTTTTTGCTCTAGTTCAGTATCGTCTAATTCGATAATTTCTTTGTAATTCATACCTTCAAATACCGGAGTATACTTGTGTAAACGAAGACTTCGTAGCCATTGTGGAATATCTATATATACATTATGAAGTTAATTTTGTTAATTAATATGCGCATCATAAGGAAAAACGTTATAATTACAAACCTTGTAGTAAGTTAAAATCAACTGTATCATCATTTGGTTTTTTCTTATTTTTACCAACAACACCACCACCGCCGCCGCCGCTATTGTGACCTTTCGAATTATTAGCATGATGTGAAGCATCACTATGATCACTATGATAACCGCCCACCTCTCCATTCTCGTCACTATAAGGTACTCCTACATTCGGAGGAGTTAAGTGAGTTCCTTTCCCACTGCTAGTTGAAGGACCCCAACCAGAATGGATAGGATACAAACCACCGGTAGGGTTAGGATTTGGTGAAGTAGGTCGCGAACTTTGCCTTGATCCATGAGTTTTTGGACTTGGAATAGGAGATTGTTGAGGTGAACGAATATTTCCATCAGCGTCGTACATCGCTAGAACGATATTTGCCGTGTTATATTTCTCTTCTTGTACTGTAGCAGGAACTCCAGAATTATTATTTTTTCCGTGATTACGACGGAATTTTTTAACATCACTTTCTAACACAACACGATTGCCAGAACTATTACTAATGCTCCAATTGGTTAATTTTTTATTAACCAAATCAACGTCTGTAGATTGCTTATTTTTGTTTTCTGCAAACATTGGTACCACCGGTGTAGACACCATACTAGCCCAACTACCGCCAACAAGAGGAGATAACTCGCCATCAAATGCGCCAGTTCCTGGTCGAGGAGATCGTAATGGGAAAGCTGCTGGAGTCCAAGGAAGAGCACTAAGGTCAGCAGATTTCGGCCGACCATTGCTTGTTCGGTCTTTATTATTAATGCTGTTATTGTTGTTGTTATTATTATTATTATTGCTAGAAGCACTAGTAGGAGCCCAAACCGATTGATCTGTTTCGGCAACCATAGATTTTGGTCGTGATGAATATAAGGAAGCCGATCGATTACCGGTATTGGCTTGAAGTCTAGCTCTTTGCTGTGCAAGTGCAGCTGCAGGATCCGAGTAAATAGCGGCTTCAGGAGACAAAAATTCGACACCCGAGTGTCGATCATATAAACGATTACGTGGATACGTCGGACTTGTTGGTGATTTAAGAGACATACCAGCTAGTTTGGCTTCGACCTCAGCTTTGGCCATAGCGCCTGCCAATTGCGCTTGCATTAGATCTGATAATTTTTTAATATAAAAAATTTTGAATCAATCAAGTATTCTATCAACGCGTAATTTCTTATATAGATACATTACACTGGTGGATCATACAATTTTTAAATAATGATAATTTTCCCAGAAAAAGTTGTAGACGTCATTAAAAAAAATTATTTTTGTATTTCTAAACTCACCCTTTTCAGGATTTGCCGGTGACAGAAGAGCTCCCATAGGGTCACTTCTTGCCATTTGTTGAAGCACTGTTATGAAAAATCGTATCTGTACTTGAGTTGAATGTTGTAACAAACTATACAACGCGGCCGTTCGTTCAGCTTCGGATAATACTCGGAACCATTGTTCAATAGCACTAAGTTCTTCTTTGAAGTTTTGATCTAAACTTGCTGTAGCCATTTCTTCAAGTGTTTGTTCATAATGTTGGAGGTCTTCAAACCACTTGTCAATTGCTTCAGCTTGAAAAGAAAAAATTTTGAAGTGAATTTTTTATTGGAAATATTATATATATATATATATTTTCTCTTTCCCACAGAAAGGTTCATTATAGTTTTGCCAAAGAAATTTTATTACGTTATAAAATAAAACTTTTTAATAGCAGGAAACAACATAACCTTTTGAAAACTCTCTTACCTTCAGGTGATTGATATGTGTTATGGTTATTTGCGGAGAATATTTCGGAAGTTGGCCTCGAACTCCTATGGTTTGTCGGTTGTTGTCCCAAGTGAGATAGGTCAGCCGATTGTCGATACTGTGAGTTAGATCCCGATTTTGCGGGTTGAAGGTTAAATTGTTCGCTGACAGGTCGTTGTGTAGTCATGATGGGAAACGAAACTGATGAGTAATTCTTTTTTTTAAACTTGTTTAAGATGGCCTCTAAATAAAAAGTTGAAGATCGGTGACAGAGCTTTCTTAAGAGAGTGAGTGGAGAATGTAGAAGTGGGTAGAAAAAGGGTGAGAGAAGAAAGTACCTCTTTGTCACCTTAAACTTATTGAAGAGCTTAATGACAAACTTCTACAAGAGGACTAGAAAAAAAAACTATAAGAAACGTAGCATTTGCTATTAATAGAGATTTCAACTTTTTATATTATTCTTTTTATTCATATAAATTGAGATAATTTTATCGCAAAAAAAAAACTGTTTGATGATACAACGAGAATCTCGGATAAACGAAGAATTGGTGGTGAAAAATGAAAATTATAAATGCTAAGCCGCAGTTATTTTGCGCCACCAATTTATATTTTACACCAGTCAATTCATAAATTTTCCATAGATATAAGTTTTACTTAATCTTCATATGAAATTTCCTTATTCTGCAACTTTTTTTTTGGTGAAAAATTGGCAATCAATGATCAGAAATTCAGCGATCAAAAAATACTCTTGAATCGAATTAGTTAGACTGTTTCGAAATTTTTACCGGTTTCCTCTTTCTGAAACATGACAAACAATTTCAAAATAAACACTAATATAAAGTACATAAAAACAATTTAAAGACCTAATTTTTTATGTCAATTATAGTTTAAATTAAAAAAAAGATCACTCCCATTTAAGGGATAGAACAATGTACCACGAGAATCTAAACCGACATACAACTAGTAATTAACTCATTTTTTATGCAGACTTAAAATAAAGGTGATCATTGTAAAACATCTCGAATATATGGAAGCTAAGATATAGTCTCGTGAACAATATTCACAATGATGATGATCTTGAAAGGATCTTTCGGTTGTTGTTATGACGTTTAAAATTTATTCAATTTTGATATAAAATAAGATCTCGTTAAATTATATATAAGATGTTATATATACATTGCAGTAAAAAAAAAACCAGAAAACAAAATTATGATCACAAAAATTATATTCTTGTTTCAAGTTTGTATTTGTCATACCGATCACAAAATTCCGGGACTTTTACAGCTTTGGATTTTCTAGTCAACCTAAACCACATGGTTTCAATTTGTTGTGTTCATATTCTTTGCATGTTGAAAGAATCTCTTTGTCAAATTGCGGGTTCTTTGTCAAGTTGATTGATTATCAAATATAACATCATTTGATCATCCTTCTGATGATTGGCTAGATCAAAAGATCTATAAATGCTTTTTATATTTCCTAACCGACCTGGTAGGAAATTTCAGAAATGTCTGGATATACTTCAAATCCAAACCGTAAACCTATCAGGTATATTACATGATAGATATTATCAATTTAGTTTTTTTTAAATACCATGCATTCTCGTATTACTTTTGTATTATGAAGAATTTGAATTAGTTTGCAAGTTGAACTTCATGAGTCACTTTTTTTATAACTGAATAATAATACAGAGTATGGGTTGACGGTTGCTTTGATATGATGCATTATGGCCACGCCAACGCTTTGCGGCAGGTAAATACTAGGAAAAAAAAAATTTTTTTTCCACGGAACTAATGTTCATAATAATTTCAATTTGCCAGGCAAAGGCAATGGGTGATTATCTGGTCGTCGGTGTTCATTCGGATGCAGAAATCGAAAAACACAAGGGACCCACCGTTATGAAAGAGGAGGAGAGGTAATAACAAGTGGTTGGGATATATACTTTTTTATATTAATTTAATCAATGAGAATTTTATTTTATTATAGATATGCTGCAGTTGCGGCATGCAAATGGGTCGATTTAGTTGTTCCAAATGCACCTTATTTTACAAGTCTTGAGGTAATGGATCAACATAACTGTGATTATTGTGTGCATGGTGATGACATTACCACCCTTGCCGATGGTACAGACTGTTATCAAGCCGTAAAGGATGCCGGTAGATATCGAGAATGTAAACGTACTCAAGGTGTATCAACTACTGAATTGGTTGGACGCATGTTACTGATGACACGTGATCATCACAACCGTCGATCATCTATCGCCTCGATTAATAATGAAGAATTAAGTACTTTTAGTAGTAGTGCATCAAAACAAAGCCCAGAAACAAAAGTTTCCCATTTTTTACCAACTTCGAAAAGGATAGTGCAGTTCTCGGAAGGAAAAGAACCTGCACCAGGAGACAAGGTCATTTATGTTGATGGAACTTTTGATTTGTTCCATGTAGGACATATTGAATTTTTGAAGAGAGCCAGGGCTTTGGGAGATTATTTGTTAGTTGGTGTTCATGATGATCAAGTAAATATATATATATTCTTTATCAATTAGCATTGATCATTCATCTTTCAACGTAATTTTTTTATTTGAACAATAGTATTACCCGATTTCTTTATGTAGACGGTTAATGCAATTAAAGAAGTGAATTATCCTTTGATGAATCTTCATGAACGCGTTTTGAGCGTTCTCGCTTGCAGAGTAAAATTATTTCTAGATTATATTTTCATTTGTCATTATTATTTATTTGTTTTCTAAAGAAAAAAAAACTCTCTTATAAGCAGTATGTGGATGAAGTCATCATCGGTGCACCCTATAGTGTTGACAATAACGTATTATCAAAAGTTTATAAAGTCGACATTGTAGCTCATGGAAATACTCCATCATTGCCCGATTTAAATGGGAAAGATCCTTATGAAGTAATGTGATGATCAATTTTATTATCATTTTATGATTTATATCTAGCATAAATTAACCATTAATTTTATGTAGATTCCTAAAGAACTAGGAATTTATGTTGAAATTGAAAATCCTTCTGCTGAATTAACAACAACAAAAATTATTGAACGTATAATTGAGCATAGAAAGATGTTAGTAATAAATCCTTTAAGTAGCTCTGTTTTTTTTTTGTTTAACAAGTGATTTTTATTTTTATTTTTGAAGGTATGAAGAGCGTCAAGCGCGAAAGAATGAGAAGGCAAAGTTAGAAGCTGAAGCCGAACGTTTAGTAAAGAATAAATAAAAGATAATAGACCTATTTATTAATGAGAAAATTTTTTTTATTTTTCTCTCAAGATTTATTTATCAATAAAAACAACCGAAATATTGACCAATTGTTAAAAAAATTAATTTCCAATGGATAAATATTAATTGATTAATCTATTATTAATTATGAATAGTCTATCATTATTAAAAAAACTTCGTGAACTCTAAATTAGGTAATAACCGGTTCTGAACCACTTTTTTTGTTTATGTTTTGTTTTTTTATTTTTTCGTTTAAGTCTATAAATGTATCAAATTGACAATAAAAGTTAATAGTGTAAAAATAAAATTGGTTAATAAACATAAATCTTTAAAAATTAAAGAAATATTTTATTTTTTTTAATACCTGTAAAACAATTTTTTTTCTTTACTGAAAAAAAAATAACCGGATACATCCGTCGTAGCATGACAGCCCATAAATCGCACGTGATTTTACGATTTTATCGCGATTATAAATAATTCTAGTCGAAATTTTATAATTTTTAGTAAATTTGACCAAATTTATTATAACAAAATCAATGTAAAATATAAAATATAACAATTAACCATCCAAAAAAAAAAATATTTTATTCATTAATAATCAATATTATCATTTAGATTAATGTAAAGAAAATTAAGCATTTGAATGCTTTTTTAAGTGCCACCCTTCTATCAAAAAAAATTGTTTTATAGCTAGAAAAGCTACGTTCAACATTAACACCAGATACTGGTAACCATATATATATTAATGCTAATGCACTAGGTTCTGTTAATGTCTTTTACTATGCCAATATACATTTAAGTCTACAAATTCCTCATCTAATTCTATTCTTAAATCAAATTATGAGTAGGAGAATGAAACTTCTTAATAATATTATAATCAGGGTTGGGAATTTTGTATTTACTAGATAAAATTACCACTGTACTTGTACTAATTTTATATTAATTATTATAATGTACTAATTGTATTAACTATACTAATCATTGTACTAACAATGTACTTCCCAACCCTGATTATAATCTGTCATATTATCATTTGTTATATTAGTTTGAATAAACACATTGTATTACTTTAAATAATGATAAAACTGAATGGTAAGAGAGATGTTTTTCCCATTTTTCATAAGCCAATCCAAAAGCAATGTAAAAATGCTTCTATATCACAATTTCTTTCAATAAAAATTTATTTTATTTCATTTAATATTGGTGGAGTCCTTTTCCTGATAAATAAAACTTGAAAACAAACTATTCTTGAATAAACAAATAGAGCTATTGCTTTATTTCAGATTTAAAGAGTTATAAGTCATTAACTAACCTAATTAAAATTTTTAAATAATTAATTAAGTTATTAATTTAATTGAATTATTAAAAATTTCTTACTTATTACAAATATATGTAGGTAATGATGCTAAAGTAGAAAATTAAATTTATAATAAATATTTTTTTATTTTTATTTTTTTTAATTTAAAGAGCATTAATAGTAATTAGGAGTAAGGTAACTATAAGGTCTTGTAATAGGCCTATTAAATTTGTCTAACAAGTCATATTTTTTAATCTTAGATATTTTTGTATATTTCAACATATCTATCTAACTAAGTACACTCTTTGTAAAATGCTATTTAAGGTCTGACATCTTAATTAAAAATGTTAACTTTTATAAATATAATACTATTATTAGGGTTCCTCAAAATCGAATCGAATCAAATATTTAAGCAATTTGAATTTGATTTGATTTTTTCAAATCAAATCAAA